AAACTTTATTACCGGGCATGCTCATGGAAAGGAGTTTCAGACTGCAAAGGTCGCTGTCATAGACCCTCCTGCACATGCGCATGTAGACAGACGCGTGCATGTCAACTCGTCTACATGTCTGGTCCGTATGTGGGAGCCAGGTTCAGTCGCGCTTACATGTCTTGACTGTGAGGCGTGCACTGCCGCAGGGCCCAAGCAGCCGTCGAGTTGGGCGGGCAGGTGCTGTGGCAGCCATGCCTGGCCTAAGCCGCGTGCAGCAGGCAAAGCGGGCCTTGGTGACGCTGCTGCTCGCACTGGCCCGCGCGTACGGTGTGGACACGGCCGTGTCGCGTGAGTCGGCCGACGCCGATGTAAAAAAGGCGTTCCGGAAGTTGTCGCGGCATGTGCACCCCGACAAGGGAGGCAACCCCGAGGATGCGCAGCGGCTGAATGCAGCACGGGATGTTTGGGAGGCCGCGCAGCGAGGAGGGCCACCACGGGGTCGCCCAGGTCCTGCTGCCGCCGTGCCAGCCGCAGTGGCGGACCCACGAGCGGCAGGCCTGCGTGTTCGCTCGGAAGCTGTCCTCCTGACGTACCAGAGCTGGTTGCCGGAGAGCGCGGCGCCTGTCTGGGAGCGGTTCTGCACATTCGTGGCCGACCGCGTGGCTGCTTGGAAGGTCAAGTACTGGACAGCCACGATGGAGACAAACAAGTCCGGCTCGCTCCACATGCACCTCATGGTCCAGTTCACACAGTCGAGGGACTGCAGTGCGGCGTCCTTCGCCTTCGACGGCAGACGCCCGAATGTCAGTTCCCACGACTACCTCGGCGAGGGCGCTTGCAAGACCCGGAGCAAGTTCCTCGGCAACCCAGTAGTTCTTGCCCTTTCTGTTTCGGGGTGTAGCAGACTGTAAAAAGGGTACTCGAGCACTCGGGGTGTAGCAGACTGCAAAAAGGGTACTCGAGCAAGAATGCTGCCAGAACCGAGGCTTCAGCAGTCCTTTGACAGGGGCATGTTTTATGTCTGGGCGAACAAGGTCGGGACACTGCATGTGGCTGCAAACTACGAACCTTGCTGGACAAGCGCAGCGCAGACCTACCAAGTTCTGGGGAAGTGGCCTGAAGCACTCTGGAAGCAGCGCAAGCTGACCCACCAGCAGTACGAGGCTTACCTCTACCTGACAAGGGATGGCGTGCTGGCTCGGAAGCGGAACCTCGACGCTGTCAGAGACCACGAGGCGGGTGCAGCAGAGGAGGAGGCTATGCAGGCCAACGTGCGACGTGTTCGGGCAAACCCCGCACTCTACCAGCCTTTCCCAGCCGTGCGCTCCGCGCAGGACTGGCTGGCCATGTTCCGGGAGGACCGCCTGCGCTATCCCCTGCTCGTAGTTTTGGGACGGTCACACACCGGCAAGACAGAGTGGGTCAAGTCCCTCTTTCGGAACCCTTTGGAACTCAAAGTCGGAGCGCTAGAGGTCTTCCCGGAAGGGATGCGAAGCTTCGAGCGTGGCAAGCATGACGGCATCATCCTTGATGATGTGCGAGACTTGGCGTTTCTAGCCGCTCATCAAGACAAGCTTCAGGGCAAGTATGACACTCGCGTGGAGTTTGCCACGACGCCAGGGGGGACATGCGCATTCACGAAGTACCTCTTCGCCATTCCGCTTGCGGTGACTGTGAACTACAGCACACGCAACCTGGACTTCTTGGAGACACATGACTGGCTGAGCCATGAGGGTAACCGGGTTGTCATCAAGGTCCCCGAAGCCTTTTCAGTGCATCCAAACGATGGCAGTAGCTAATGCAGACGCAACGGTCCTGTGTGCAGGAAAAGTTGACGGCCTCCACCTGTGTCTGAGTGTCTTGTCCCGAAGTTCGAAGCAGTCCCCCGAAGGTATGCTAGTAGGGGGTGCGCCGCCGGACCCATTCCTCCGTGCAGGGTTCTGGGCACCCATCATCTCAGGAAAGCATGCCTCCTTGAAGGGTTCTGGGCACCCATCATCTCAAGCAACCATTCCTCCTTCAAGGGTTGTGACCTTCCTCCTTGCAGGGTTTGGTGACCACCCATCATCTCAGGTAGCCATTCCTCCGTCAAGCTCCTTGCAGGGTTTCTCCACCCATCATCTCAGGCAACCAGTCCTCCTTGAAGGGTTCTGGCCACCCATCTCAGCCCACGCGGCCAAAGCACCCAAAGCGATGCCTTGCACTCTGCCGCCGCCGTCGCGTTGTGTGTTTGTGTGTGGACCCTGCTCTCTTGCACACAGGGCTCTCCGTGTGCAGCCAACAGCCTCGAGTCATGCCTGTCGTAAGCGAAGTGCGGCACCCCCAGTCTCTGGACTTTGCGAACGAACGCAAAGCCCTGTTGCTGAGGGATGTCCATGGACTCTCATGGGCTGAGATACAGAGGCGGGTGGTCAACTTGCGTGGCAAGGCACCCAGCGTGAGGCTACTGCAGCGGGCTCACTCCGACGTCAACCGGACTCTAGGTCAGAGGCAGTTCAAGTACAGCAACTGTGGTCGGAAGGCCGCGAAAGGCACGCCCAAGGTTCAAAAATACCTTGTCCAACGGCTCCTTCATCTTCGCAAGCGTACCACCTGCACCTCCAGCACCCTTCGCCGCGAGCTGCTGCGTGACAAGGGTGTGGAGCTGAGCGAGTCAGCCATTCGGAAGATTCTTCGGAGCCACGGGTACAAGTGGTTGCCTCGAGCGCAGAAGCGGAAGTACTCCGCCAAGCGGCAGGGAGAGCGTCTCCAATTTGCCAAGGCGGTGCTGCGACTCACGAAGGCCAAGCTCCGTGAGAAGCTCTGCCTGGCAATGGATGGCGTGGTCCTCTCGCTGCCCCCTCGTGATGCGACGGACCGTGCCAACTATTGTGCTCATGGTGACACACACATGTGGCGGCTCCCAAGTGAGAGTGCTTGCGTGGACCTGGCCGGGCATGACCCATACCCATTCCAGATACCCGCGGACCGTATCGTGCCATTGTGGGGTGGCTTGTCGGAGGGCGGCTTTGCGATCGTCACATTTCACCAGAAGCGCAAATTCACCACTTCCGAGTGGTGTCGCACGGTGAGGAGTGGCAAGTTAAAGAAGGCCATCGAAGCCTTGAAGCCTGTGCAGCGTGCTGGCCCA